CCTATTTATTTTGCATACTTTTGTGAGTATGTTTGTGTATGACCTGTGTATGTGGGTGCAGGTGTGCAGGCCTGCCACAGCCCACATGTGAGCGGGAGATGACAACTTGCAGAAGGCAGTTCTCTCCTTTTTCCTGTTGAGACAGGGGCTGTCTTACTGTTCCCGCCTAGCTACATGCTGCAGACCAGCGAGGCTGTGAGTTTCTCCTGTCTCCAACTCCTATTTCTCTTTAGGAGTCCTAGAATTACAGATGTGCAGTGCTACACCCAGCTCTTTTGGGTAGGTTCTGGGGACTGAACAAAAGCTGTCAGTTTTTCGAGGACAAGTACTTGTACTCCCTAGGACATCTTGTCAGCCCTCTTCAATCTTTTGTTGCTGCTCTGTTGTCTTTTGGTCTGATGTAACCTCCTTTGTCTATTATTGCTATTTTTATCCTTGCTCTGAGATTCATGTCCCAAACTCCATTGCTTAGAACAATGTCTCAGAGCCTCTTTCACTATGTTTTCTTCTAGTAATTTCATAGGCTCAGGTCTTTAAGCCCTTAATACTGTTTTTGAAGAGTTGGGGTTTTGAACCCAGGGTCTCAAAATATTTATATGCACTCTACCCACTAATCTCTACCCCTAATCCCCAATACATTTTTGACTGACAATTGATGTGACAAGAGGTAAAGGCATGATATCATATTTCTGTATTGTGTACTGATATCCACTTGTCCTAAGATCAATTATTAGAGGGGCTGAGAGATGTCTCAGTGGTTAAGAGCACTGGCTGTTCTTCCAGAGGACCCAGTTTCAATTCCCAGCACCCATATGGCAGCTTACTACTGTCTATAACTCCAATTCCAGGGGATCAGACACCCTCATGCCAATGTACATAAAATGAAGCTATATTAAAAAAAAGTAAACTATTAGAGAGACTGCCCCTTTGATGAGGGTTGCCTTTCTGTACATATGTTTCTCTTATTGGTTAATGAATAAAGCACTGTGTGGCTAATGGCCAGGCAGGAAGGATAGGTGGGGCTACCAGAGGAGGAGAATTCTGGGAAGTATAGGCAGACAGGAGTTGTCATGTGAGCCTGGGGAAGAGAGGATGCGAATCAGGAGTTCCCCAGTAAGACAAGACCATGTAGAAATACATAGATTAGTAGTTATGGATTAATAATTAAGACAGAGCTAGTCAATAAGAAGCCCAAGCCACTGGCCAACAGTTTCATAATTAATACAGTGTCTGAGTGTTCATTTAGGGAAGTGGGGGTGTGTGTGTGTGTGTGTGTGTGTGTGTGTGTGTGTGTGTGTGTGTGTGTGTGTGTGTGTACTTGTACATGCTCCCCAGTGCTCAGAAGTCAAAAGAGAATGTCAAAAGAGAATGCCAGTTCCCCAGAAGCAAGAGTGACAGGCAGTTGTAAGCCACCTGACATGGGTACTAGGAACTGAAGCTGGGTCCTCTGGAAAAGCAGCAAGTGCTCTGAACAACAGAGCTATCTCTCCAGCCCAATGTTTCACCTCCTGTTTTTTAAGCCATTTGTATGCAAGAGCTGGACTCAACTATTTTTAAGGCCCCCTAAGGGACCACTGTTTACATCAGAGCAATGGAATTTTTCTCAGCTTTTGTCAATATATTCAGGTGTTGATACTATTGCAGGTGACCTTAAGGTGTGCTTATTTTAATTGTATCAAGTCACTTTTCATTTCTGCAAATATACTAGTTACTTTTATAGATTTGGAAAGCTAATTCTCATGATCAATTTGAAGTTTCTAAATTTTACAGCTAAAGAGAAGAATGGTCTCTTGCATTTGTACATGTACATGTACATGTTCTAGTGTCTGCACATGTGAAGGCTGGCAGGCCACTGAGCTCCAGGATCCATCTGTCTCTGCCTTCCTAGTGCTGGGATTACATGTGCTCCTGCATTTTCATGGGGTGTTGGGGATCCAAACTTTCCAGCCCCCAAAGACTGAATTCTTTTTTAAAGGTTCATGCTCCAAAGGAAAATATGCAAATGCAGGCAAAGTCACACGTTGAAAACAGTTACCGATTCCATGAAATTCAATCAATTGTTAGGAAATGCTCCAATTTTGAGTTCTCTCCTTGGATTTTTTTAACTTCAAAAGAAAAATATGGGCAGACATAATTAGCCACAAGTTCAAGGAAATGATACATCCTGTTATCTTGTGGGCTAATCTTTCTCTAGTTTATGTTGATTAATTTAGATGTGTGTGCATGTGTCTTCGTACATGTGTGGATACACACATGCCATAGTGTATGTTAAGGACCGTAGACAACTTACAGGGAAAGCAGACTGTTTGCTCCTTTCACCCTGTGGGTGCTGGGGACTGAATTTTGATCATTGGTCTTGATGACAAGAGCCTTTTCCCATTGAGCCATCTCAATGGGATGTCGATCAATTTGAAAGCTGAGGCTACTTTTGTTTGAAAGCATGTACTAGGCAATGGCAGCAGCGCAAGGATCCCAGTATGGGTGTGGAAAGCCTGGTCTACTGAGGACCCTCAGTCACTCAGGCAGCCTGTGGTGGGAAGGCAAGCAATGGAATGGTGGCTCCAAGTCACCAGGAAAAGTAATCCAAAGAACTCAATAGATGGAGCATAACTGATTTCATCTTTAATGAAGAAAAGGAAGCATGGTTAAAGAAAAGGAAACTTATCTTGTTGATGTCATAGCCTTTAAGTGACTGGTATCTACATTGGTCCTAATTTGAATTTTACACATTGAATGTTTATTCTCCACTAAACAGGGATCAAACTAAAAATTTTCCAGAGCCCAAAACAATGTTTTTCTGTTTCTTTTGAATTTAAGATAGCTCTTAAAATATTTTTTCTTATAAGCTTAGAGTGAACAGAGATAGTAACAGATTGCATTGATACTCCAATTTAGAATACATCGTGAGCCATTAAATAGAAAACTAAATCAGTTATTTGTCTTCCCCACCCCATCCATCAGATCTCTCTCCTCACATACGCGCACACACACTCTCGTGCTTACATAGGACCCTTTGGAACACCACACTGATTTCTGCGGTGTGGCTGTCTCCAGTTCTTAACCATTCATCCCTACAAGCTCTCACCCAGAATGTCATGCTCTTCTGAAAAGCTTTTGAACATGATTGGCTGGTTGTGCTGTTCATTCACTGAATTATATTCCAACTTAGAGTCCAGAAAACCCTTAAAGCAATTTTCCTTTACCTGGTTCAAAATAAAAGCCCACCCAGCATATACACTTTAAGGTATATCAAAAAGTTTAGTCAATCCCTTACATTCCTCCACATTTAAGGCAAATGTTCCCACTATTGTTTGATATTGCCCCTTTTACCCCTAAAAAGGGCAGTGAGTAAATCTTCTTGGAGTAGAGCCTGAGAGGTGAAGAATACCAAACAGTCAGTAAGCCAAGAATTGGGGTGATGGGGCAGAAAACAGCCAGGTAAGACTATCAAATTCATCCTGAGTGTCTCTGAAGATTGTATTTGTAGCAGAAACATAAGCCAGAAATCACAGGAGGAAGAAGAACAAAGGACTGAGCCACTGTGTCCTAAATGACACAGACAACACAGCATCACAGGGAGCATCTGTCTGCCCCTCATGTGACTTCCTTGTCTAGTAGTAATCCCAGCCATGATTTTCTCCATCTTGAAAACACACACACACACACACACACACACACCACCACCACCACCACCACCACCACCACCACCACCACAACAACAACAACAACAACAACCCACAGCCCAAGGAAAAGTCAACAGAAACATAATATGTGTTCTCTCCAGTCCACAGCACAGGGTGCCACCAAGTATACTCATCCAATGTCTCAGCCAAGCTCCTCTTTGTCCTGAAGAACTCAGACCACTGCTGATAGTTTGTAACTCTTGTCTGTGCCCTTGATCTACAAGCAGCCTTGAGTTCTTCATACTTGGGGTTACTGGTTTCTGAGAGGCCAGGCTGGCCTTGAACCCACAAAGATCTGTTTGCCTCACTGTGACCAAAGGTGTGTACCACCACATCTTGCCCCTACTCTTTTAGTATCAAAATAACCATTCTTTTGTAACAACAGGAAAAGCCATTAGATGAAAGTATGATATTAGCAGAGGATAGTATTATTCTGTGAAAATCTTTTATCATGAAAAATCCTAGACACAAAGTATAAATATACATTGGACTCTCACATACCACTGAGCTTCAACAACCATCAACTTTGTTCATGTTCACTGAAAAGATATTGTAAGTTGGTCCTAACATGGTTTTGCTATCCCCCAAAATCTTAAAGTACACAAACGATTAGCCTGGGCTATCCTACAAATGGTACTGATGAAGACAGAGACTGTCAGAGATTAAATAATGTGGCCCAATGTCTTCCACCAGTTAAAGCTAGAATTGAAACAGGTGGGTGGCCCATTACACTATGGAAGGGCTGTCTGACTAGATTTACCTTGTCGGACTAAACCTCAGCAAACCCAGACTCTTCAGGTATATCCCTACATCTCAGTCCAGAGTTTGCATGCATACCACTTGAGACCTGTCCCATTCAGGAGCAAAGAAAAACCCATTACCTGTAATTCATGTTTACTTCCTCCCATTCTATAGTCATCATTTACAGCCTTGGCATCCCCAGGAATCACTCATTTCCATCTCAAAGACTACTGGGAGTTTCTAGTGCTTCCAATCTTTACTCTCAAAATGTGTACAAAGCAAACCATGGGGATGAAAGCAGATTCATGAACTTAGTAAGGGAAATGCCCAGCTCCGCATCCCTTTTCACATACCTAACCTTCAGGGGAGGAAGGCAAACAGCAGGCAGCCCCCAGGACCAGGTATTCTGCAAATGTGCTGCAGCACACAGGCCTTGGTGAGGACCACAGGGCCGTGCAAGAGATAGCATTGAAACACTTCAGAGAACAACAACATACGTCCCCATCCCCAGGACTCAATTAATGAGAATGTTTTTCTTTATACATTCTTTCTTTCGTTCAGTTTTTAAAGACTTACCTAAATTGTCAGTTTATGCAGTATCAGTTCTACTGAGAGGATCCTGAGGAACTTGAGAAGCTTCTAGCAGCAATACCTAGAACAACAGGAAAAGCCATTAGACGAAAGTACCAATATAGACACAAGGTTGTGAGTAAAAAGTCTACACATTTAGTCATTTCCCCACACTAAGAACGAACAAAAAGGAAATAACTCCGGAAGCAATGAGTCTCCATCACACCACATGTGCTGGGAATTTGCTGTGCCGACAGGGAATTGAGGTCCCAGGACACTTATGCAAAGACCAAAATTACATTACTGTTGGCAAAGAGTCAGAACACTTTCCCCCTTCTCTGTGTTAGGGAGGCTTTAATGGATTTGAATTTAAACAAAAAAACCAAATACATGTGTCTTTCTTCCTGCACCATGTCTAAACCAATTTCAGGCCCTGTGTGTTCTTCTCCCCCAACTCCCTCCTCCTCCCTCATTAGCATATAGAATTGTTCTTGGCTTGTTCACTTCTGTCTTACTTAGTTCCTGGGACACAATTATCAAGCAGTTCCTTCTTGCTTCCTCTTTTTGTCATGTCTGAAGCCCCAAGCACTCTCTCATCTGACACCTTACTCGGTGAAAACCCAACAAGAGGCAGAAAAACACCATCAATTACAGATTTATCAAAACAGCCTATTGAATAAACAGGGCGAGGTAAGACCCTGCAGGGTGTTCATACACAACAGGTACATGTCATCAAGTCTAGGTAGGAATGAAAAAACGGGCTAATAAATTATGTGGGTTTATGATTTGGGGGTGGACTTCTACATGTCTTCTCAACTTACAAAAAACGTGAACTAAAAATAGAATCAAATGATTATTAGAGGTACATGTATCTGAATATTTTATAATATTGAGATAGTGGAGGTCTTTTTAAACAAGAGAGCAAAATCTGAAAAGTATAAAAGACTAAGGTATTTGTTGCCCCAGTTAGGGTTTCTATTGCTGTAAAGAGATACCATGACCACAGCAATTCTTAGTAAAAAAAAAAAAACAAAAACAAAAACATTGAATTGTGGTGTTTCACTTACAGTTCAGAGGTTTAGTTCATTATCATCATGGCAGGAAGCAAGGCACCATGCAGGCAACATGGTGCTAGAGAAGGAGCTGGGAGTTCTTACATCTTGACTCACAGGCAACAGGACATGGGATGGTATCTTAAGCACATATAAACCTCAAAGCCTGCCTTCAAAGTGACACACTTCTTCCAACAAGGCCTTGACTACTCCAACGAGGCCAAAGAGTCACTCCCCTTGGGGGCCATTTTCTTTCAAACCACCACATTTGCTAAATCAACAACAAGAAACGTAAGTAGGGTCTCAGCAGGTAGGAATGCTTGCTGCTCTTGCAGAAGATCAGAGTTAGGTTCCCAGCACTCAACATGGGATAGCTACAAACCACCTGTAACTCCATCTTCAGGGGGATATAACACCCTCTTCTAGTGGTACCTGAATGCACATACACACACACACACACACACACACACACACACACACACTCACACAGAGAAAATTTAACATATAAATAATAAAAAATAAGACAAAAAATTCCACTGATACTTTTGTCAAAAAATAAAAATTATTTATACACAAGATAAAAAAGCTGCTGTTCATAATTTACAAACCAATTTAAGGAAATTAATATTCCCCTTAAGATAGACAAAGCAAACAGAAAATTTTCCTTAAGATGAAGGAAAATGATAGCAGTTTATTAGAAAGGGAATATACTAAGTCCTGTGACCCTCTAAGTGAAGACTAATCACCTATAATTCATCTAATGTCCGTGACCTCCAGCTAAAGTTAGCTGGCCAGCTCCGACCCAGCATCCCATAGGCAAATAGTGATTTCATGAAATAGGTAGAATCTTTTAAAAAAAATTCTTTGGGCTTACGTATATGCTTGAGTGTTTTACCTGCATATATGTATATATTGGTGCCAACAAGTGTGCGCCTGGTACCCACTGAGATCAGAAGAGGCCATCAAATCCCCTTAACTGGAGTTGAGAATAGTTGTAAATAATTATGTAGGTATCGGGGACCAAACACAAGTCCTCTGAAAGAGCCACAACTGCTCTTAACTGCTAAGCCACCTCTCCAGCCTCACATAATTTCTAATTAACAATGAAATTTGCGTAAGAATACAAACAAAGGAGTCCTAAGTTTCCAGGTGAGCCAGTCTATTGTTAAAACATTCTCTATCATAGTATGCTTAGCCACTGCACAGGTTTATCTTCATTAGATTATATTCACATATTAAAAGACCTTTTTTTCCCATTAAGATTATAAAACACAGCAACTTATTCCCACAGTGGGCCCATTGTGTTCGCTTTACTCCTGGGAAACAAATGTGTTCTTTTCCTTGCTTTATTTTTAAAGGTTTATAAGTTACATATCATACAAGCATTCCTATAAGATCATAGCTATGAACCTGGTTAGAAAGCCATAATTACTGGTAGCTGCATAGATGCCTTTAAGTTATATTTCTAATTAGTCCCCTTTATCTGCTAGCTGCCCCCTCTATCCCTGGAAAATGCCTATAGAAGATAGACAATAGACTAGAGCCCCTATTTTGTTTCAGAGATGACCTGTCATGTGACAGTAAGACTTAAATATCTATGGATCCAACATACAGTTCAGAAAAACCCACAGGCCACCAAAGCCAGGTAGTCTCCTCAATGCCAAGCAAGTCTACATAGGGGCCTGAGATGTGTTAGGATTTGTGAGACAGGGCTAGGGAGATGCTTCAAGGGTTCAAGTACTCAGCAGACAAGTGTGGAGATCAGAGTTCAGAACTCTCAGAACCCTCATGAATGACAGCTGGGCATCGTGCCCCTTCCATAATTGTAGCCTCAGAGGTGCTGACAGGGGATCCACAGAGCAAGCTGGATTGCAGGCTCTGGATTTGACTTCGTGAGAGGCCATGCCTCAGCGATAAAGAATAAAAGAGGTAGAAATGGATGGATATGAACCCTGACAATCAACCTCAGGCCTTGTGCTGGTTCATTTTTTTGTCAACTTGACATAAGATAGAGTTGGCTAGAAAGAGGGAATCTCAACTGAGAAAATGTGTCCACCAGACTGGTCCATAGGCATTTTTTTGATAATGGGTCTCAGCCCACTGTGAGTGGTTCCACCCCCAGGCAGGTGATCCGGGGTTGTACAAAAAAGCAAACTGAGTGAGCCACAAGGAACCACCCAATAGCAGCACTCCTCCATGGTCTTTGCTTGACTTCCTCCAGGTTCCTAGTGGAATTCCTGTCTTGGCTTCTCTCAGTGATAGAAGATTGTGATCATGATGTGTAAACCACACAAAACCCTCCCTCAAGTTGCTTTGAACACAGTGCTTTATCACAGACATGGGAAATGTCTCCACATACCTATGTGTTATATGTGCATGCACACCCACACACATGCAAAAACATATATTCATACACAAGCACACAACACACCATACACATGTGCACGTGGGAAAAAAAGAAAAAAAACAATAGATTTGTGGGACTCAAACATGGCATTTAGAGAAGGCACTAGCATAGTGGCTAAGAGGAACAAATTTGATCTTGGTTGAACAATTTACTAGGCATTTGTGCCTGGATGCGCCTTAAACTCTCTGGGCCTAAGTTCAATGCTTTGCAATAAAACCAATGGGGAAAAGGACAGAGCTCAAGGTGAACACACAACTAATACAATCAGCAAAGCTCAGCAGCAAGAAGCTTATCTGAGCAGCAGGCATTTGAAGCAGAGGTGGAAACAGCTAGTGGCAGAGACTCTTGTTCACTGTCTGATCTTAACAGGTCCCCAGAGAACGCTGACACAAAACAGGCTTTCTGTGGGCACAGCTATCTGTTTAAAACACTTCAGTTTGATTTTTGTGGTGCTAGAGATGGGACCCAGGGCCCTGCTTATGCCAGGCAAGCCCTTTCTATCACCCAACTACATGTCTAGCCCTAAAATACTTCTGGTTAAACCTGAATAAGGCTCTTTCAAGTCATGTGAAGAACACTTGCTTCAAAGGAGCATTGTACACTATCTCATGTCGAGTCACTTGGCAGCTCCTTGTGGCCTGTTGCGTAGAAGATATCATGAAGCACTGGTTGATGTGAGCAGACGGCACTAAAAGCTACTACTGAGTTCTTCCCATTTGCCACAGGCAAGGGCACTGTTAGACAGGGCTGTGTTTTGTTTTGTTTTGTTTTGGTTTTTTGAGACAGGTTTTCTTTGTGACTTTGGAGTCCTGGAACTAGCTCTTGCAGACCAGGCTGATCTCAAGAGCTCACAGAATCCTCCTGCCTCTGCCTCCCCAATGCTGGGATTAAAGGCGTGTGTTTTATAAAGCTCCCCAATTTAGGGCTGACTTTGACAATTTCTGAAACTACCAGAACCAACATGACTTGATTTTCTAAATGCGACCCCCTTCCCAGCCTCACAGCTCATTCAGAGCAGCCCTACTGCAGGCATAGAATATCACACCCCATATAACACAGAGCATCCCTGCTTCCTCTAATCCTATAAAAAGGGACCTCCATTCTACCACTTGGGGCCCTGGACCCTCCTCAGAGAGCCCACCACCCTGTCATGTGCCTGCCTGTCTGTGACATCAGTAACCCAAGTATTTTTCAGCCCCAAATTAACCAGTTTTAAGACATTAAGACTATACAGAGGAGAAAATCCATTATAAGTAGCTCAGAAAGAGCAAAGTAAATCTTGACTGTCATTCAAAAATTGCAAAATCCAAGAAAGAATAAAACAAAGAGTTCTTTGATAGTCCTATACAGCAATGGCAAGAATCAAAGGGAGAAAAGAAGTGTTTTGAGAATAAAACTTGTCCAAAGCCTGCCCTGAATGTCTGTGCTCAGCCACAGTGTTCCACATACCAGAGTCCCAGCACACTCAGCTTCTCCTAAGGGATCACTGACAGCTCCAAACAGCCTCCCCACACTTCTGTTTATCAGTTTCTATTTCACAGTCCACCTGCTTAAAAGGAATCTTTATTGACTATATCTTAATTTCTACATTTACAGTACTGGGTTGAATTTTCCTACGTGTCT